GGGTCAACCTTGGTTTCTTCGAAGATCCCGATGGGTGGCCAGGGAGTACACCTGGTTGGATCCGGAAAAGGAGGTCACTTTTGCTCCGGCAAGTTCGTCTCTGCTACTCAGACTCCTTCCGAGCTATGTGATGCGAAAGCGCAACGAGGGTGGCAAGTGCGGCATTGCTACTCTTGACATCACTGATGCTTTCCTTACGGTAGATCGAAAGGAGGATACGGTGGTGAAAGCATGGGTTGGAGAATGGCGATACTATAAACTATTGAAGCTTTTGCCTGGTCAGAGAGACGGAACCTCGGGATGGCATGAATCATTCATGGATCACCTGCGTCAGCATTTGGAGATTGATGTTTTCAAACCATGTCCGTCACTGTTTCGATTGAAGAATGAAGATGCAGGCAGTTTGGTTCATGTCGACGACTTATTTTGTGGAGGAGCGACACAGGCCCTGGAAAAGCTGGTGAATTGTGTCAAGAGCAAGTACAAGTGCACGGTAGGATGGCTGATCAATCCGGGCGACGAAGTGTACTTCCTGAAGAGGCGGTATCTGTTGGTCACAGGTGAGTTGATGGTGATAGAACCACATCCACGGCATGTGCAACGGCTGGTTGAAATTACTGGTGTTGGCAAAAGTCGTCCGAAGACTTCACCGTTTCCTGGAGGCACGTTGGTTGAAAAGGAGAATGATCTGCTCAACAAAGATGAAGCAAGTGCATATAGAACGGCAGTTGGAATACTACTTTACATTCAAGATGATGTGGTGGATGCTCAGTTCACAATTCGGTGGTTGGCACAACGAATGTCATCTCCGACAAATGTTGCTTGGAAGGTACTGCGTCACCTATGCTCATATCTGATGGGCACTTCTGGCTTCTGTGTGGGGCTTGGAGAACCTGAACAGGGCGAAGGAATTACGGTTAAAAGCAGTACTGGAAAGTCGATCATTGAGGTGCATACCGACAGTGACTGGGCAGGCTGCGTGAGGACACGCAAGTCCGTTTCATGTGGCGTGATTGCATGGGATCAGCAGTTCCAATGTTCGTCGAGCAGAACTCAAGCCACAATTGCATTGAGTTCAGGACAGGAGAGGCCGAGTATAACAGCGCCGTGAGCGGGGCCATAGATGGGCTGTTTGTCAAGGAAGCAGCTGAGTTCGTGGCAAGAATGGGTATTGACCTTCATGTTCTGCTTGACAGTTCAGCTGCACGTGGAATGCTTAGCAGACGTGGCACCGGGAGAGTTAGACACCTTTCGACGAAAATTCTGTGGGCATAGGATGCGGTAGCTGAAGGATTGTTCAAAGTTCACCCAGTCAATGGTAAAGTGAATGTTGGCGACCTAGGCACGAAAGCACTAGCAGGTCAGCGGATACGGGGATTGCTCTACAGGCTCAATGTTCGAGACAGCAACAATGGCTATGAGCCAGTGGGTGAAGATGTGTTCCGTGAGATGTGCAATGAAGAGCATTTCCGAAATGTGGTTAGGATGATTAAGAAGCATGGATCAGGTGTTCAATGCAATGCAGTAAGTGTTGCAATGCTTCTACACGCCTTGAACCCTCTGCTTGCAAACGCCATGGACAATGATGATCTGGATGGTGATGACTCAGGCCTGGCGATGATAATCTATGAGATCCTGGCATGGATCATGATTTTCCCGGAGCAATGGCCTTGCTTGTTTGGAGCATTCATGTTGATGCTTGCAACGTTGTTGGTGTACATTGGCTGGCGCGGCATGTGCCTCAGATCTGGAGGTCAGTTGGTAGAGCGTGAAATTGCAGATAGCAATGGTGATGTGAAGGTTCGAGTGAGCGTGGACCTACCGTGGGTTCAATCAGCGGCTGAAGGTTGTGGGAGCCGAAACTGGTCTGCCGGCTCCTGGGACACCGGCTAGGCCTATCAACTGCACATCTGAAGATGAGAGCCAGACTGAGGATGAAGTAGAACGTGAGTGTGCAGCCAGACGAGGTGCCAGATCAAAACGAAAGGCGAAACCATCGCCAAGAATTGATGGCAATGATGATGTTGCCGACCGGCGTGGAGACTTTGATCGGGACAATGGAGCACGTGGGTCCGGTGACACAATGCCGGGAACAAGGCCATATGAACCAGTTACAGATGCCGGGCACCGACATCGAGGCGGACAGACGGTCTGGATTGCGTCCCAAACCGGGAAACGATTCCACAGACTTGGCTGTGGGAAAATGTATGCGGTGAACCAGGCGGAGGAACTGGACAGAATCACAGCATTGGCCAAGGGTTACAGCCAGTGCCGAGTATGCAAACCGTAGAAAGCAGAGTTGGCTGCGGGACTGAAGAGTATAAGTGGCAGCTGGGTCCATGTGTACATACGTGAGTCGGTTGCACTCGCCATGTGTACATACGGCCCAGGGTGCTGCGTGAGAAAAGTGAGTGGACAGCGCGTGAGCATATGTGTGAATACGGGAGTCGGTTGCACTCAAGATTTGTACATATTGCTCATGTCGGCTGCTATGGAGTTGTAAGAGCCACTAGACTGTAAGTGTGGTGTTTAAAGTGCATGCAACTTGTGAAGGTTACTACTGTGAACAAGCGCTGGTAACCGTACGTGTCACAACGAGCCATGATGGCAATCTAATGCTGGCAAATTGCTGGCCCAATGTTCGGTGGCTTAGTCAGTGTTAAGCTGTTGCTTCAAAGATGGGAGCGCGAAGTGTGGATGGAAAGTTCCACGGCTGTCTGTGACATCCTGCGCAACTTTAGGCGGGGTGCTTACGTTTTCGTGCATATGTGCTGCCCATAAAACTTGTTTTCTCCTGGATTTGGTTTTGCATGTGGAAGCCACCTTGTATAGATTTTGATGAGCCCAATGAGAGCTGTGCCGCAGGCGTGTTTGACAGCTGGAAAAGTTTAGCGCAAAAGCCTAATTTGCTAAAGATCATACACAACGAACCCCTTCCCAGTCAGAGCCTGCATTTCCATCCTGCAAGCGCTCGCTGGTGGTCATGCGGACTGGATGGAGGACCGACTGCATGGTTCTAAAGAAGATTTGCTATACAGACCTTGGGGGATTATGCTTAGACGGTCACATCCTACCAGTGCAATTGAACACAGTAGGCCTCGATTGTCCTTCTATGCAATGTTCTGGAGTGAACAACACGGGATGCAGAAGCTACACGGCCAACGAAGTCTTCGTCCATCTGTGTAGCCATGGACATGGGGTTAATCGAAGGGATATCCTCTTTCTCTTCAAATTCGAGGGCGTACAATATTTCAGCGAAAAAGTGAAACTTCGTTTGATATTTCCACCTCGTCATGCTCCAGCCAAAGGCTATGTTGCAAGCTGTTTGAAGTACTCCAGCACCTTCTTTCCATGAAGCAATGCAGCAGCCCTTTCCGAGTCCAGTAGGAAGTTCCCACTGTGAAGAAGTGTTCGCATGAACTCGTTGGCAGATTTGACCACCTTGTGAATGAGGCCCATGTAGTGTTGGTGCTCTGGTTCGAGGTTCGCAAGGGTCCCCAGCTTAGCTTGCAAGTAGGTGCATAAGGTAGATGTATCAGCTCCTTTGAACCAAGACCTGGGTAATTGCTGTTTAAGAGGTTATACAAATATTTGCCAAAACCTTTATAAATGCGGTTTTCCAAACTCAAACACACAAACCATTTAGCTGAGAATCGCCGTAGGGTAACTGCTTGCCCGCTTTATACCCAACAAGTCCGTCGTCAAAGCAATCATGTGAAGCTGCAAGCCGTTTTGGCGGCAGTATCCAGAAGCATCATCATAAACGTGTTTCAGGAACTTCTCCAGGGAAAGGTTCCCGAAAACCTTCAAGTCGTAGCAAGATACCTTCTATAAGCCCAAAAATATGTGGACCGTAGACAAAGGTTTACAGAACTCATCACAAGCCCACACAACACGATTAAACCTATTTCAAAAAGACTTCCTATAGGCTTCTGAGGTGCTATAGCATTTGCTGCGATGTCACCAAAGACTCCCTTCAAGAGGATATGGAAAAGATCCAACTTGAAAAAGGCAGCCTTCCGGGATGGGCTGTGCGGAATGGAGTTGAGTAAGCTGGGTTGTTGTGTCCAAGGAAGCGGGGCATCTCGCCTCATCTCTGTCATGATGTTGAAATCCGTCTCGTGATAGCTGAAGTTTTCCTGGCCTCCACGGCAAAGATGACAAATTCCGGCGCCTTTACCACTCATGGTGTCTCTCATGTAGTTCCTTTGAAGCTTCCCCAGCTTTACCAGGGCTGCGAGGTCCCTCTTCAACCCCAGACAAATAAGAAAGATCTTCTCAGTCCAGGAAGCACTTTGAACAGGAATTTCCTGATGGAAACAATTGCCGATATCCTTTGCAAAACAGCTGACCAAATTGTGCAATGGCTCCTGTTGTTTCTTCTTGCCAGCATAAACTTTTCCGGATAAAACTGAATAAAGGAATCGCGTCGTTACACTGACACCAGACATGTTGATGTCCTCCGCTCTTTTGCTGCCACGTCCAAGGATGGGCTGAAACTGGAGCACCATCAAAGCTTTCTTCTTTTGGGATGTACCCACGTCAGCAAAAACCCAGATTGGGACACAGGAGCTCAAGTTTCTCCTGTGCACTTTAAAGATGGGGTGATCGTCTTCAACCAGACGCCAAAGGTCCCAAAAGTCCTTGTAATCAACTCCAGTGTGACCACAGAAAAGTAGATCCAGCTTGCCTTCATGATCTAGCAATGAAATGAAATCCCTGGGCCTTAGCGCCGGGTGTTGCTGCGTTGACGTAGTTCCCAAGCTGACCAGAGTCATGGGGATACACGCTGTAAGCTTGAATCTTGCCAAAAGGTCATTCAATTTGTGTTCATGCCCGGTCTCCAAGACTTCTCGGCTGGGAATATTGGTTGACTCAGCGAAATCTGCGATCTCACTCCAGAACCCAGCTGCCATCCCACAAGCATGAGATGCAGTTACCTTAAACAGGGTGTTGTAGGTGGGGGGGATTTTTAGGCTGGCAGAGGTTGTTGGGTTTACATAAGAAAGCAGTCAAGCAGCCCTATGTACATAGCAACCCTTTTTTAATACAGTGGATAGTATATTGTTTGTTGTAGTATGGGGGAACCACATAAAACACTTTATGAGGTTGAACTAATCAAGAGAAAAGAAACACCCTTGGAAATCGCCAACGCAATCGCCTTCCCAGCAGGACCCGCAGTGTTGGAAGCCGGTGCCAATGGACCTGCGAAGGACTGTGGTGGAGTTTCGGGAGGGTTTCAACTGGTGATTGGATAGCTGAAGTTTCAGCGGTCTCTTATTTTTGCAATGCGCCCCTCACGATGCGTAGGAATACGCTGGTACACCAGCATATTGATTGCTCCTTGCAAGCCTTTGGCTTGAAAACTCAAGAGCGCTGGATGTCAGGAACCCTCAACCATTAATTGGAAAAGCTACATGAGTCCCCTCAACATGTGAGCATCAAAGCCCAGGATCCTCAACAGCTGCTCTCCAGCTTTGAAAAGCAAGGCCCCCAACCTACTAAGACAGATCACCAGTCCTGCCCATTGGCAGGATACCGTCAAGCCCGAAGCATATTCTCGATGGGCATGCGCCGGCGATGAAGGCCGCATCGCTGTCCTGTATAGGATTCATTCTGGTGGGATTTCAAGAAGAAAGCGAATGAATAATAGATAATAGTATGGAAACATGCAGTGATCAGCAGGGTCTCCTCAGTTCTTCTTGGCTTTCGATTCTCCTTTAGCCTTGCCACCTCCTTTACCTTTGCCTTTCCCTCCCTTGCCTGCGCCCTTTGGAGCCGCTGGCTTGTCCTTGCAAGCAAAAAAAAGCCAACGAACACTATACGCTCATGACCCGTCCAGGTGCCTTCGGATTGGGCCGGAGAAGAGTCCTGGGAAGGACAGAGGGCACATGAAAATTCATTTGGGTTTGCGTGGAATCTGGGGTGCACACTTTTTGATCTTCACATCTTCCAGAATGGCCCTGCTTGACCTTATGAAGGGTTTATAGGATCGACTTCTGGAAGTTGCACATGTATCCATGCATTCACAATGGGCTGCGTGCGTTGTCTCCAGCTGCTTGACCTTTGCCTCAAGCTCTTGGATTTTCCTGAATGGGCAAAAACAAGTAGGCAAAGGGTCTATTCGCACTCAGCCATTTCAAGATTTAGACCATGATGGGCTTATTAGGGGAATGTAGAACACGTAGTTAATACAGGTGAGCTGCGCATCTGTAGGGTCACCGTGGCCATCAAAGTAAGATTTCAAATCAGCCAGCCCGTCCTGAAGCGAAATGAGCTTGCGCCCGAGCTCTTCAAGCTTTCCAAACGCCCTTGGTTGTTTACCCATCAGCGCCCTCAACCATGGCTACACTTCAACAACATTACAGACTGTACACACAATTGAACCGAAAGACGTCTTGGCTTCCTGGGTCCTCAAATTTTGCAATCGCTCCATCGTGTCCTTCAATCTCGACTGCGTGCGCAGGAAATTTGCGAGAACTTCTCCCACATTTTCCACAGCCTGTGCGGGGCCCAAACATTGGGGGCTGCACGGGTTGGATGATTAATTGTGTACTTGCATAAACCCACCTAATTTTGTACACTATGGAGGAACCATGAGGGTATAGGGCTATATCGGGGGCCAACAATGAATTCATAACTGCTGCATTTCATAACCCGAATCCGCACACCCATACAAACCTTGTCCTATAATCCTTTTATAAGCTTATACCATCCTACATGGGCCGTATATGGGTAAAGAACATATATATACATATCATAAACAAGCAGTTGATAAACCTTTGAATGCCCCACATGAAGCCTACATAAGCCCACTTAATCCTATAAACCCTGAACATGCAGGCCTCAAAGGCTCGCTCCTCCTGAACCTCAGCCCTGGTCGTCTTCCTGGAACCCTTCCCCTTCCCCTTGGTGCTTGCTGCTTCGGGGTCAGACTCGGAACCATCATCCTCATCATCTTCATCTCCTGAGGGCTCTCCATTAGGATCCGCAGGCTGGCCAGCCTCAAGGCCAAGGACGAAATTCTCCGCCCTCCCCTCCACAGATGTGGAGTCTATGATCTCTTCCTTCTCCGTGGCCTTGAAGGTGCCAAAGGTCTTTGTGTCGACCCAATACTCCCACACTTTGCGATTGTATTTGTAGCGCCTGGCTCATTCCACACATGCAGTGCTCACAAACTGCGAGACGCACACTCGACTCATGTATGCAGAAACTTTAACAGATTTCGTGCCAAGGTGCCGCGTGTGGGTCTTGGCCCGCTCCTTTGCCGAGCAGTAGGCCACTGCCCCTTTGATGGTTTCCCTGAGCACAGGATAAGGCAAGTATAGCACGCATTTACCAGGTTACAGGGCTTGTGACACTTTGGGGGAAAGTAGAATTGCCAAGGAACTTGTCCCACCCAAGAATGCTCTTCATAGTCGCTTTTGTGTACCATCCGGATTCAATCGTCAGATCCTTGCTTCGAGCCATGGTTCTAATGTGCTCCACCCGCTTCTTGAAGGCTTCCTTCAGGGGGAAGGGTTCTGGGGCAAGGATTCAGTATTGAATTAGCACGGGTCAGTAAATGCCAACGCATGTGTTGGAAATAGCCATGCAATCCTTATCACCATTGAACTTCACAAGGATGTCCAAGAGGTGCTTGCGGGGGGTACCTCCTTTCAGCCACTGGGCCCGCGCATCGGCAGAGACTTCTAGTCTGGCATGGCGGCCGGTAGGTGTGCACATTCGGCGCAGGGTATTATCAAGCTTTGCGATCCACATCTGGTGCGGGGTCTTGACAAATCTTGCCTAGGCTGAAGGAAAACCATTATTATACCATGTGACATAGCTGGACAAATATGTAAGAATACACGATGTATACCGCCCAATTTCAGCACAAAGTAACTGGCTTCGAAGTCGGCGGCATTGTCTCCGTAGCACCAGAACCCTTAGCTGCACATGTTGCCAAACGAGAAGTCACGAGTGCCACCAATCCGCATCAGAATGTTGCATAATCCAGAGGCATTCTAATTAAAGACAAGCATGGCCCAGACACATCCTTCGAAGACGCATCTGGGTCCGTGTCGTCCTGGAACAGAGAGGAAGTATTTGGGACCTTGTGTAGCAGCTAGCAGGAGGCATTCCAATATTTGGGAATTATTTGGGCACAGGAACTGATAAAAATGCTTTGAGGCCCCAACCTAAGATCCCAGAAGGAATGTAGATATGTCCTCATGGAGCAAGCGTGAAGCACAAAGATTCTACAGAATAGAACCCAGATTTAAGCAGCAACGAATGCACTAAGGTTATCATGTCAGAAGCCACAACAGTCCTGCAACCCTTCTGCGTTCGAAGGTTTGGAGGGCAACGGAGTGGGCGAATCCGAGCTTTCAGAAGGCAGGAGTGTTGTTCTGGAAAGCTTTGCCGGGGGCGTTGTCACAGGGGACGCAAGACTTGCCAAACGTTTTTTGGCTGCCTTAGGAAGTGCAAGGGAGAATGGGTCAACTGGCCTAGCCGATCAAGAGGGGTGCATGGATGGGCATGTCCAAATAAACAGACTTCAAGCAGCTGCGATTGCATCCCGCGCTGACAACTTTCCGGAGTTCATGGCCTGCTGCTCTGCTAGGAAGGAACTACCCCTCAGCAGCATGACCACGTTCTAGAGGGCGCAGCTACAAGTGCAAGTGCCGTAGGAGAGGCTTGGCCAGGCTCCAACGCTCCAGGCATCCCTGTACAAAGCTACAGGCCCCGTCAAGTTACGAAAGACCTCGTACCAAAACACTGCAAAATTCTAGGTCCTTCAAGCGCCAAGCCACCCAATCTCATTTCATTATCACCATGTACACTGCTCTTGTGCCGTGCAAACGCGAACGCCACAGACACCTTGCTGCATTCTGTCTGCAGGCTGCCTCGATGACATGCGATGGTGTTGCAGGCCAGGGCTCTGAATGCAACCATACAGTAAAACAAGAGTTGGAGGGGAACACAGAAAGAATATATCATGATTTGAAAAGTGGAATGACGATGCTTGCAAGATACCTGGCTGCAATTCCGAAATTATTTGGCGCAGCAGCTCTCGGGGCAAGGGTTTTCGGAGGCATCCAAAGTGACTGAAATTTTGCTAGGAATCCTACGGCTTTTTACGTCACTTTTCCAGGGTATTACGTCACTCTACCAAATTCCAGTCACAGTGCTTGAAATTCAGGTTTTCTCTAATTTAGGAATTACCCCCGATAACTCCGAACATTCCCGAAATTACTTAGGATAAAGCCTCCATAGCCCGACTTAAATCCTGCTTCACACACCCAAACACCTCCTGTGTAAACCTGACTGAAGCCGCTTGCTAATCCCACTGCCCCTAAAAAGACAGCAAGATTCGCAAGCCCAAGCGATGGAATGCCATTCCTCAGGCAGAGAGGAGCCTAGACCTGCGTATTCTCTTCTTGCGCAATCAAGATTACTTATGCGAAGC